CACCCTAATAACCCGTTATAGTACATCCTTCTTTCCTCACACAGCCAAACTGTGGAATGCTCTGCCTTCTTCTGTGTTTCTATACTCTTATAATCTGTCTTACTTCAAAAAGCTGGTTTTCCGGCATCTTCGTGGTGTAGATTAATAATGTATTTTTCTCTTTTATTTAAAATTTCTTTTTACTCTTATTTACCCCCCCCCCAAGGCTTTGTTGTGGGTGGGTTGATGACCTTTGCCTGGGTGGGCTCCCCCCCCCAGAAAAAATAAAATACAAAATCGAGCAAATGTAATGGAAAGCTCGATTTAGCTGGAATAATTGGTTCAGAGCTTTTCCGAGAAGGAGAGATGGCCAGAAAAAAAAATTTGTAAACTTTTATTCACGGCATCTATTTTAATTGTGTTCGAGAGATGAATTTGGTACCATAGTTATCTTGAGTAAATTTTAATTTTTTTTTTTTTTTCAATGAAAGATACAAACAATATTTTGACATGATATAGGTAATGTTAGAAATTCAGTTCTTTTAATTAAAAAACATTTCAGTTACCAATGTGGAAAGAAAATGGTGCAGAGAAAGCAATTGACAAAATGAAGAATGGAATGGTGACTAGAAGCTCTAGGATAGTTGTAGAAATGCTGAAAGCATCAGGCATTATAGGTGTGTCAGTGGTGACTAAATTGACTAATGCAATCATGATACAATGTACTACTGTTCCAGACAACTGGAGGAAGAATGTGATCATGAATACAGTACATGTACAGTACTTACAAGGGTAAAGGTGATGCACTTGAATGCTGGAACTACAGGGGCTTACAGCTGCTAGATCAGGTTATGAAACTTATAGAAAGGGTGACTAAGAAATTGATAAGGGAGAGAGTAGACATAAACAAAATGCAATTTTGATTTAAGTCATATAGGGGGACTACAAAGGCAATATTTATAGCCAGGCAAATACAGTAGAAATATCTAAGGAAAGAAAGAAAATTTACTGAATAATTGTAGACTTAGAGAAGATCTTTGACAGAGTACCATTTGAAGTAGTAATGTGGACAATGAGAAAGCTAGGAGTTGAGAAGTAGCTTGTTTGAGTGGTTATGGCATTATATGAGGGCTCAAAAACTTCTGTGAGATAAATGGTGAGGAATTTAAGGTAAAAGTAAGAGTCCATCAGGGTTTTGTTTTGAGCTTCCATATGTTATTCATTGTGCTGGAGGAAGTATCATGGGACTTAAGGTCTGGCCTGCCCTGGGAGGTGTTGTAAGTTGATGACTTAGTGCTGATAGCAGAGACAGTGAAAAAAATTTAAGAAATGGAAGGATGGAATAGAGTTAAAGGGCCTGAAAGTGAATGTGTTCAAAAAAAAAGTATTGATTATAATTATAATCAATACTTTTGTTTTCCCACTAATTAGTGGTGTGAGTGAGGGATCCGAAATGGAAAGTGGCCATGTGCTGTCTGCAAGAAAGGTGTTGGCAGCAATTCAGTAATGTGCAACAAGTGTGGAAGGTGAGTACACAAGAAGTGCAGTGGAGAAGGTAGCAGATTGTGGGTTGTTGCTGACTTTAAGTGTTCTGTATATGCAGGTAACCCTGTGCCTGCAGCAAGGCAGGAGAAACTATACATTGCATATATGTCTCTGAACTGTTTTGATGAGTTCTGTTACCTGGATGACATGATCAGTGCTGGTAGGGGTGTTGAAGACTGCTTAGTTGCAAAAGTCAGAGGTGGCTGTAGGAAATTTAAGGAGATGCTATCTATATTGATGGCAAGGGGACCTTCCCTTTGAGTGAAAGGAAGAATGTATGCAGAAATAAGCTTGTATAGGATTTGGCACTGATATAGCTGAGAGCTTGATGGATTTGTGATGCCCCGTCAACCCCCTTCATCAGGGAAACCGTGAAATATCTGTTGAAATTCATGAGAAAGATTCTGGTTCATTTTGTTGGTACTGTACATGACTGCTAAATAAGTGGAATTTCTTGACAAAAACAACACACAGTAGTATTTGTTATTACTGTATTTAGAAAAACCCGCTCATCTTGTCTTAACAATGTAGGAGTGAAAGTATATTAAATTACAGTTTGAACCTCCCTAATCCGGTACTCTATTGTCTGGCACCTCCCGTCGTCCGGCAAAATTTTAGTTTGTCGGATGGCCGCTAGTACCCACCGGCGCTAGAATCCATGGTTTGGCATACCCTTTGTTTACATCTGGTCCTCGTAGAGTTTGGTGCGTTCCTCGGTATTTCAAGTGTTTCTGTAATATTTCACTTGTTATTTACCCTTAATATGCCTCCTAAGCATATTTATTTTATTATTTAATTTACTGTACAGATATTTTTTCTTCTTTACAGTTGAACATCATCAATTTATGTACAGGTACCCTTATAATTTTGTCATTTTAAGTGCAGAATGAGAATTATTGTTTATCTATTTTCGTTTATTACAATTACACTGTACAGTAGAACGTGGATATAACACGAGATACGTTCCAAGAGAGGTCGCTTTAAATCGAATACGCACTAATAATGGAATAATTTAGTTTGGTACTTGAGAGAAACACAAAATACTAAAAAGACTGACAGTCTTCCCAGATGCACCTCAGCCCATTTCCTAGAATAAGCAAAACTTTGTTTTTTGTAGTATTATGTTAAAACAAACACTCATAAATCAACACAGCTAAAATTATGGGATGCGAAATGGTCTGTTTACTGGCTGGGAAGATGGGGGAAAGGAGGGAGGTGAGGTGATATGTTTGACAGTTGATGCCAAGGTCTAGTGCTTATTTATTTATCTGTCCTAAAGAGTGACTTTAAGTTTTTCTCTTATAAATTGTCACTGAATTAACATGGGAGAATGTAATTAACATTGCTGGAATTCTTATAAGATAGTGATTAATTTTAATAAACATGCTATAGCTCGCATGAGACATACAAATAAATTCTAGTTTTAATTTAATAATTTTAATACAGAGCAAAATTTTTTAGCTCTTGTGCAGAATATATGACGTTTAAATTCAAATTATTCACTGTCTTGCAAGGATTTCAGCAATGCAAATTATAATCTCATAACTTTTGTCTGTGACATTATATAAGATAAAAACTTTAAGCCAAAAACACCAAGCCCTGGCTGGAAGATTGGGGAAGGTGGCAGTGACATGTTTGATAGTTGGCGCCGAAGGTCTTGTGAAGTATTTATTTGTTTATTTATGTCTTTTAGCTTGAGTTTATGTTTTTTGTTTATAAAATGTCACAGAAGTGACCGGGGAGAATATAATTTACATTGCTGGAATTCTTATAAGATAATGATTAATTTGAATGTAAGCATGCTATAGTTTGCACTAGACAAAAATTTTAGTAATCATTTAGTTCATTATTTTGAGTACATGTACAGTACAGCTTTGCCCTTAGGACAGTGTAGCGTGCCCAGAGAAACATTAGGTGCAAAATGTTAAATATGATGTGCCTTTAAGAGTGCCAGAACTTATTTAAAACAATTGTGTGTGATACAAAAAAACACTATCACATGCTGCCGAACTATCGGAAACCCCAGCAACAATGGCAAGTTAAACTGTTTTTGTTCATGAAGCCAAGTACCGATCTTCCTCTGGGTGGCATTAGCATTAGGGAAGTACTGTGTATTTTTCAAAGACCACCTGTGGTTCGGAAAATTCTATAGTCCGGCACCGGTCAGGTCCAAAGGGTGCCGGATTAGGGAGGTTCAACCTATATTATAAAATAGAGGTAACTAGAAGTACAGTAGAAGTCCAAAAATCCGGACTGCTTGGGGTTTGGGTCGGTCCCCATTTTCGGATTTTCCGGATTCTCAGGCAGTACTTTTAAAATTCAAATTTAAGGAGGAATAAAGAAGAGATGAACAGGTACATTTTGATAGTTTATTCATTAGCAAATATAGCATGCTTCAATTATCAAAACGAGCAGTTTTAAAGAAAAAGCTGTGAATTCTAGAATTTTATTCTTTGCCTTTTTTATATCATAAATTGTAGACTTTCCAATGTCGTATGTTTCCATTAGAAAAGTATTGCTCACACCACGTTCTAGTTTCTTAATTATTTCAAGTTTGTCACTTAATTTCAATGTGTTCTTCTTTCTCTTCACACAACGAAGTTTATCTACTTTAGGAGCCATTATTATGGGCTTGTACAGTACTCTGTAAATGGAAAGAGCAGGATTGAAAATTACATACGTTGTCACAGTTTCATTGCTCGTTTTAAAGTGGTGACTGCGTTGTCGCTTTTTGTCGCTGTGCAGCTGTGGCGCTCATGCATGCGCACATACACACACAAGCCAGCAAAAAAAAAAAAAAAAAAATTGAGTTTTCGAAAAGTCCGGATTCTCAGGTGGTCCGGATTTCTGGCATCCGGGTTTTTGGACTTTTACTGTACCTTGGTTTGTAAATAGGATGATTATAACCAAGTTATAAGAAAATTGAAAGTAAACCTAATCTTTTAAAATGATCTTTGTATACTGTATATTCTCATTACATAAGGTTTGACAGCACATGACATGAACCAGCCAGACCCTTCTTAAATAAGTTCAGAAATACTGTATCTGTATTGTAATTTCATGAGAATAAGTTATATTTATTAATTTTGTCTCATCATAAATAGTTTATGCTTATCTTGTTTACAGAACCACAGCACTTTCAGGATGCCTATTTACCTTATTTATGCTGTTCTGACAAAGTGTGATTTATTATAAAGATTGTACTTAATAGCTGCACACCAGTAAACTGACCTGTAATTTACCTCGGGGACTTTAACTTAAATGTGCTATGTGGTTTCAAGTGGAGAACAGAGGAAATGGCCTTACTCTGAAATCTGGTAAACTCTTTAACCCATCATGCTGTTGACCACAACAGTGCCAGATTCCCAAGGTTATTCTAAAATCGAATAAAGCTTACTGTGGAGAACTGTCATTATGTTTTAAGAAAGAGGAGGAAAAATGACTGTACATTGTAAGATTATTTTTGTAATTTGCAGGCCCCCCTGACCCTAGCAAGACTGCAATGGTGCAGCACAGCTCTACTGTTGTATGCACTGCTAGTCAGCCTCACCACATACTGATAGAGCCTCGGGACCAATATCACAATGTTTGCTCTTTCTCACCTGGTCAAGCTGACACAGACAACTATTCCATTTCCATCGTAGAGGTGAGTCTTATTCTTATCTGAGTTACAGCTAGTTAGCTTTTGCTTGTTTAAGTATTTTGTCCTGCATTTAAGTTAAATGGCTCCATAGAATTGAAACAAATCTAATTAAAGATAATGTTTATTTTGGTGTTGTTAACTAAAAATATTGAGGAATTCAGTAATCCATGTAAATAAGGATAATAACTAGACATATTGTCCTTCTATTTTGACAGCTAGAAGGAGGGTGGACAGTGGATGCAAGTAGTATTATTGTATACGATCATACATCACGCCGCATCAGCATCCAAGTGACCCTTCAGCACCCAGGCTGCTACAGGGCTCATCTCACTTACTGTAACACAACACTCACCAATGGAAACTTTGATATAATTGTTCTGACAAGTAGGTGTCATTTTCTGATTATATAAATCTGCTGACTTTCCCAGGGTTTCCAGTAGTCAAGGAATAATGTAAAATTCAAAAGAGTACCTATAAGGTGTCCTATATCAATTTATTCAATACTATCTCAACAAATTTACTGTTAGACAACTCATAAACAGTAAGATCACAGAAATCCGGAATGCATGGGGAATTGAGTGTGCTGGATAATAATTTTTTTGTGGATGTTTGAGAGTTATTCTTATAAATACGCATCTCAAACTCAAAAGCTTCGTCATAGTAAATATCATGAAAGGAATAAGAGGACATAGTAAATATGTTATACAAGGAATAAAAGAGCATGTTTGATGGATGAGGCGATGATGGTGTTTACACCAGCACAAACATTCAAGTAAGCAGAACTGTAATGGTGGTGCCCACTGTGTTAGGCCTACTTGGAGGATGTACACAGCACCTCTAGTGGCCAGAAATGGAACCACGGGTAAAAGCGGCACCAAATTTAAACTGATTTTCTTGCTTTCTTAAATGTAATTAGACATTACAAACTGGAAATGACCCCACCAAAATAATGCTACAGGTTGTACCTCTCTAGTCCGGCATTCTGTGGTCTGGTAACTCCCGTGGTCCGGAACGATTTTAGTTTGTCCAATAGGTAGATAGGCAGCTTTTTTTTTTTTTTTTTTATCTGAATTATTATTATTATTACAGGAGTATTAAATTTTTGCCCCTCAGGCCCCAATGTGGGTCAGTGACCTATGCCCGGGTGGGCTAATCCCCTTAAAAAATAAAAAAAGAAAGCCATTCGGCTGCTCTCTCTCTCTCTCTCTCTCTCTCTGCTTGTCTATACAGAGTACAACATTTAACCCTTCAATATATATATGCAGTAAATAAGTGTTGCTTTCATATTCTTATGTTGAGAAATGACGATATGTTTTCACATGTGCGCACTTACATACGCGCAGTCTCACTTTTTTTTTTTACCATTAATGGTTAGCTACTTATATTGTTCCATTTATTAACATTAAATAACATTACAGGTACTTCAAACAACCATATTCATTTTTTACATTAATTTTACTACAGCTAAAATCAGGGTCTTATTTTCTTCAGTTTTATATGTAGAACCAATCAGTCACTGGTTTCGTAAGCTTTAACATAAACAATGCCGGCAGCCGTCTCGTCTCCTCTAATATTCCACGTATTATTAATAAATTGTATTGTTAATTTTGCACACACAAACATTAATTCAATAAAAACAAATTCAGAAACACAAATTAAAATATATATGAACAGTAAATAAGTGTTCCTTTCATATTCTTATGTAAAGTAATGACGATATGTTTTCACGTGTGCGCATGCGCACTTACATACGCGATCTCTCTTTTTTCTTTACCATTATCGTTAGCTACTTCTATTGTTCCATTTATTAACATTAAATAACATTACTTAAAACAACCATATTAATTTTACTACAGCTACAACCAAGGTCTTATTTTCTTCAGTTTTATATGTAGAACCAGTCAGTCACTGGTTTTGTAATCAACAAAAACAATGCTGTGTCATTTCCTCGTGTGTTTTAATATTCTACGTATTATTAATGAATTGTATTGCTCATTTTGCACACATAAACATTAATTCAATAAAAAAGACATTCAGTAATAAACAATAATGAATCTTTTGTACATAAGGGAAATGACGCTGTTTACACGATTACGCACGTCGTCTGCATGTTGGCGGGCCGTTCAAACCCGTCGAAATTCAAGTTTCCGCCGTCAAAATTTTTATTTATCTATTTTTTGTGTGTTCCAATAAAATACGTTAAGAATTAAAAACTTGCGAAATTTGATTAGCTACTATACGACATTTAACCCTTCAATATGTCTTCAAAGAGACCATGATGCAGAGAAAGTGGTGCTAGTGCTTCCAAGCATAAGCACAAGTCACTATCTATCCAGGAAAAGGGTGAATTTCCATGGTCCGGCAATTTCCATGGTCCGGCACCGGTCAGGTCCCGAGGTTGCCGGACTAGAGAGGTACAACCTGTAGTTGCTTGAAAGTTCTGGATGTTTAAATGCTGGGTATATGAGATTATACTGTATGCACTTAGTAGTTGCCATATAACATACAAACTACACCCTCACAATTAATCCACTACACCTGTAGTTATTCTGGATAATAAAGTGGGAAACATATGCAAGATTCACTAGTTGTTCTTAATAATTAAGTAGGTAACATCTGCAAAGTTTACTAGTTACTCTGGTAAAGTAGGAAACACCTGCAAGGTTTACTAGTTACTCTGGTAAAGTAGGAAACACCTACAAGGTTTACGAGTTACTCTGGTAAAGTAGGAAACACCTGCAAGGTTTACTAGTTACTCTGGTAAAGTAGGAAACACCTACAAGGTTTACGAGTTACTCTGGTAAAGTAGGAAACACCTACAAGGTTTACGAGTTACTCTGGTAAAGTAGGAAACACCTACAAGGTTTACGAGTTACTCTGGTAAAGTAGGAAACACCTACAAGGTTTACGAGTTACTCTGGTAAAGTAGGAAACACCTACAAGGCTTATGAGTTACTCTGGTAAAGTAGGAAACACCTACAAGGTTTACGAGTTACTCTGGTAAAGTAGGAAACACCTACAAGGTTTACGAGTTACTCTGGTAAAGTAGGAAACACCTACAAGGTTTACGAGTTACTCTGGTAAAGTAGGAAACACCTACAAGGCTTATGAGTTACTCTGGTAAAGTAGGAAACACCTACAGTGGGGTATGCTATAACGAATCTAATTGGTTCTAGAACCTCGTTCGTTATAGCATTCGTTCGTTATAGGATTAATCCGTTCCAGGCCCCCAAATACAACAACTTAACACTGAAAAATTTCTGTGGAAATTGTAAAAAATACAGTACTTTATCTTACCTTAGTGTTGTTCAGCATGCAGGACAGGAGGCAGTGGAGGAGGGGGGGAGGAGAGAATTACGGAGAAGAGGTGGAAGGAGAGGAGTCATCCTTCCTAGCCCTCTTTGGTGACTGTCTTACAGGCACTTTGTCTGTTTATTTATAATTTCTTAAATAGTTTCAAGGTTATTAGCTTTCTCACTCGCTTTTGATGATTCATTGTTACAATTGTACGCTTGTATAACAAAATAGTTATAAAAATGACACGAATTTCCACATCAAAAGACGAAATTTCAACAAGTTCAGTGGTGCACTGACTACACAATGAACCAATATGGCGCCTGACGCTCTTGCTGGGAGCCGCAGTACAACAATATTCATGCGCCAGACGAAATAGTCCCGTATTCATCCGCGTTCGTTGTAGGAGTTGCGTTCGTTATAGCATTCTCAATTTTATAGGTAAAACCGTTCGTTATAGGAATATTCGTAGTAGGATCCGTTCTTTATAGCATACCCCACTGTACAAGGTTTACGAGTTACTCTGGTAAAGTAGGAAACACCTACAAGGTTTACGAGTTACTCTGGTAAAGTAGGAAACACCTACAAGGTTTGAGTTACTCTGGTAAAGTAGGAAACACCTACAAGGTTTACGAGTTACTCTGGTAAAGTAGGAAACACCTACAAGATTTACGAGTTACTCTGGTAAAGTAGGAAACACCTACAAGATTTACGAGTTACTCTGGTAAAGTAGGAAACACCTACACCATTGAATCTTCAAGTTTGAGACATAAACATGGGTTGATAGACCTACTGTGTGAATAACCTTTTGCTTCTGGCCACTGATATAAGAAATACAGTACTGTAATATTTTTGTTTGCCCAACAGTAGCAGAGTAAGAAAAATTTTAATCTGTTCAAAATTTTGTGTGTTGAAGATGGAAAATTTGATAATTAATTTGTTTTTGCTTTTATTTATTGTATTTCAGCAGGTTGTGAGAACTCGCAAAACACAAGTTTTTGCTAAACTTTTTTGTATTTCTTGGTAACCTTTCACTGACATTTTGTGCAACTTTTATGGCCTGGCTTATGCATTAATTCTGCAGTTTACCAATGGTGCGTTGATCAGATCCTTCCACGCTCCCTTGTGTGTGTGTGGGTGGGTGATATAGAGAGAGGGAGAGAGTTGTACATTGGGATGGGACCAGTTAAAGCAACATGTACAGTAGTACCCCGATTTACGCGGTCAATTGAACCCACAGGGTACCGCGTTAAGTGAAATCCGCGTAAATGGAACAACAGAACATATGGGATTAATTCCAATAGAGACTGGCCCGACCCCCAAACTCTACTTTTTCCGATACAATACCTATGTTCCAGTAAAAATAACATCTTAATTTTATGATGGTACATGCACACAATTAATACTTAAGAGAAATAGAGAAATACAGTCGCCAAGTTAATGTCCATTCAAATAATGGACTCAACTCCCTCCCCCTCTTCTCACACTACACTCGCTGGCTCTTCCCTCTCTGAGAAATTTTGGGGGGAAAACCACTAATTTTAATAAATAATACCTCAAACTAAAGTTAGGATAATATAATTGACATTGCTGGATTCCTTCCATCATCGCCACATATAACACCATCCATCACCACTTCATATAACACTATGCATCATTACTACATATAACACCATCCATCATGTAATGAGACAAAATCTCACATGAAGAGGTAAGTTAGGAGTTTATAGTAGTAGAGTATTATAGCGAGAGGAAATGGTAGCGTGTCTCGAGGGTGTGATGTCAACACTGTATATTAACACAGGCACAGTACAAGTGTAGTATATAAAACACCAATGCGTGTTACAGCTTTATTTTACTAGGGGGGATTAATGGGGGGGTTCGTACACAATTTATGATAGACTATGGTATTCTCGTATAACCTAACCTCACAATTAGAATGGGCACTTCACTAAGTCGATCGTTGGGGAGGTTCGGGATCACTGCACTTCTACAGTCTACACAGCCAGCACTTACTGTTACACGTGGAGTTGACAGCACTCTGTCGATGGACCCGGCTGAGACTTCGTTACACTTAGTGGCGGGCTTCT